GCTATATTTAATTGAACTCTACGTAAATTGTATTGTTTCATAGTCAATAGTATATTAGGGGCGTCAGATTAAAATTCAGGAATGCCGGAGCTGACATACTGACCCCAGCAAGGAATCACAGCTGAAAGTCAGACACCTAGAAAGGGCACTTGAAAAAAATCTTTAAAAAGCATTGCGATTGAAGGCCATTTAATTTGAGGCAAATAGGTCTAATCCCCAAGAACATCAGAATACATTAGTGGATGTTTATAAATACGACCTTCAGGCACAAGAATACTCAGTTAAGATGTGGAGTGTAAGGTAAATTCAGAAAAGTATTAACTAACAGCACATGGATAATAAGCTTTACTTATTTAGAATTTTCCTTTTTTTTTCTGGAACCCCCCCATTTTCTAATTATACTGTGAAAATAAATTTTACTGCTTATTTGCTGGTGGGAGGACAGATTTGGAAACTGTCTTATCAGCCGGGGTTTTGTCGTTGTTTTTCTGGTGAGGTTTTCCTAATTGAAATGCACAATTAAAGTTGAAAAAAAAATCATTCCTTCACTTCTTGCAGCAGCAGAAAACAGAAGGAGTCTTAGCAAATAATTAAACCTCTTGACTGTGGAATCAGGCAATCTCACTTTAAGAGCTGGCTCTAGAAGGCCGTTCACTGACAGTGCTGCAACTTCTCTTTAATTGCTGTAGCTAAGCAGAGTCCATCTCATTTCAGCTATTGTATTGCGCTCTTTGGCATTCTAAATGGTTGCTCATTTCCTCCAAGGGGGATTTAAAATTTAAAGATAGAAATTCAGTGGAGAAAATAAATTAATTTTATTTGTAAATAGAGTGATCCCACATCTTTGAATTCACGTTGATAAACTGAGTTCTCAGGAGGGTAGGAGAACCTGGTTTGGGACTCGGTTATAGATTGATTACTGATACTGTAGGGGATAAAGTGAGGGTCAAGGGTTAAGTACCTGGATCCTCGATGGAAAGGTTCTTCATAAGCCACTGCACAATGTCCGTACCTGCAATGACAAAGCAGTTTCAGCTGAAGACCTCCTGGGTGTTTAACCCTGTGCCAGAAGAAACGTGTTTACCCGAGACTCCTAATTCCAATTAGCACGCGCCTGAAGAGCTCGGTGATACTGACACTTCTCCATCCTAACCAACCTCTCCATCAATTAGTATGTTCTATAGTCACAGTTCCATTCTCCGCCCCTACCCCAGACTCACTTCGGATGACCATGTCCACGTTTCTAGTGAGACTGCAGGGGACTTCCTGAGAAGGCATATTTTGAGGAGAAGCCAGGGGACATTTTCTCACACCTGGCCCCCAGACCATTTTCTGAGGGAGGAGGCTTCTTTCAGCTCTTTGTCCCCATGGTCAAGGCCTGACCAACAAGGATGGCCTCACAGCTTCCTGAAAAAAGTCTAATTTCTTCTGGCCTGGGCCCACCCTGAATGAATGAGCCCCTGTGTCTGTGGGAGAAACTTCTATGTGTCCACCAAAATGTCTTTCCTCTATCCCCTGGGCTCAGATTATGTTTCCAGACTTTTAAGCAGTTGGAGGTAGAGTGAGTTCTGAAAATGGAAAATGGATGAACATGCCAGAGGCCACTTTCAGAACCGGACCATAAACCCTCCTGTGTGACCCTCCATACCCTACTCACTCTCACTGCCACCTGCTGTCTGGATGGAGAGAAATCGGGGGGCCTAGGGGAGGGCAGAGCTACAATGTGGAAGGAGCCTGGGATCCTGAACAAACATGCACATTGATGCCTGTGTTGGGCTCTGACCTGATTGAAAAAATAAACTTTGTCCACTGAGGCCCAGAAATTTGAGGGTTATCTGTTTTGGCATTTAGTATTCCCTCAACTAACTAAGATCATAAGAATCAGAAGGGACACTTAAAGCTTATCTACTCCAACCCTAGCCAATACATAAGCCCCATCCGCAACACCCTGGACAAGTGGTGCGGTGATCTCCGTTTAGAAAAACCCTAGGGCCTGGGAACTCACCAACTGCCTGCTGGCCAGCCTGTCCCAGTTAAATCATCTTTGATTTCTCTGAACAGAAATTCACCAGTTTCTGACTTCCTCTCTTTGGTCTTAGTTTTGCCCTATGATGATAGAAAAACAAACTCAGCCCTCTCACCCTGTAACACAGCCCTTCAAACCTGTGGACAGTCCGTCCAATGTGTTCCCTACGTTCTCCCTGAGCTCCCCCTCCTTCAGGTGAAACATGCGCGGATCCCTCAGCTGTTCCCTCTCATGACGTGAGCTGGAGTCCCTCACCCTTTTGGTCACAATTCTCTGAATATATTTACTTTCGTTTGCCTCCCTTGGAAAATGTGGCACCTAGAGCCAATGTTCTTAGGACAGTGCAGTTCATGTGGAAGTGGAGGAGTCCAGTTTTCTAGAGTGTTCTGACAGTCTACCTTTGTCATCCCCAAATCTCACCTTAAATCTTCAAAGGTGGCTCGGTCACCTCAGGATGGAATGTTAGATGGAAAACAGTCTGAAAAGGGCAACATTTCTAGATATCCGAGTCTTGTCATGGGTCTGAGGCATGGTGTGAGCTAGAGGGTCTGCCAGTAGCCCTCCCGGGAAGGACTCCCAGCTGAAGCAGTGGAGAGTCAGCAGAGGGGTTTAATGAATATTGCCCTTTCCCCAGGAGTGAAGTTGCTCAGAAGCTTGACAAGGGGCCGGAGGTGAGACCAGGAGAGGCCTGAGTGCCTGGACGCTTCGTTTCTCTCTGGCTTTCTGGAGGGGAGTGACCCCTGCACAGAAGACCGTCCTGCTCTTTCTGTGCCCCGCCCCCTGCCCCAGGACCAGTCTCCACTGACATGGCCCTGCGAGTTCCCTGCATTTCAGCCTCAAAGGCAAGACTTGTAAGTGTTTCCCCACTCTTGCTCCCGGATGGCATCTATGAGCTAAACTTTGGATCAAAAACACTCCTATTCATTCACATTCTTTGAGAGAAAGGGAGAGTATGTCTGTGTGTGTGTTTGCGTGTGTGTCCACTTCCTCCAAATTATACAAGTCCGACATTTGTCCTAGGAAATGGAGAACAAAGCAGAAATCAAATAAGAACTGTAATCCCAAGTTGGGGGTGGTGGGGGGAGAGACTCTAACCTGTTTTTCCCTCAAAAGAAAAACAGTCCTTTTTCTGTGGGTTGCCTAGAAACAGAGAGCTTTCCAGCATCAGCAGCCGCTCTCCCCCGGGCAGGAGGATTATCTTTCTGCTGAGCTTGCTGGACCATTATTTATCACCTGCCAAGATTGATTACTCACCCTGGGACAATGACAGTCCTTCCTTTCCCCTGTTAATTACTGTCATCATTAATATCCATGTCACTAATTAGTATTCATTCACATTGAAACTCCTTCCTTGCTATCATATCCGCTCCCCCCTCCACCCAACCCCAGCCTTCGGCACCATTGTCTAGGTTTCCACTCGCTTTTGGCTTTCTGCACTCGTGTCTGGCCTAATTGTTCTCCCCAGTCTACCAGGCTCCCGTTTGCATTCACTAAGCTGAAGAATCCCATGGAAGCACTTTTTTTGGGTGAGGAAGGGAAAGCCACAAAAGCCCCTTGCCTTCCTCCCGGCACTACGGGGACCACAGATCTGGGTTTCTCGTTGTTGGTGCAGCGACCATGACAGTCACTGTCTCATCTGGGGAATCGTGTCTGTTCTCAGGCACCAGTGAGGGCTGAGCTGCTGCCCCTGGCTGTCCTGGGCCACTGCCCTCGGTCTGCAGCAGCACCCACCCTCCTGCCATCCCTGACACGCATGGGTCCTGCTTGGTGGACTTGCGCACACACAGTGATGCCCGGGGCCGTGGACAGTCTTGTTCTCCTGGCTGGGGGATATTTTAGGCTTCCTTGGACTAATCCAGGAGGGGCCAGCCTCCAGCCTTGTGGCAGGCAGTAAACCATTGCATATTCACCTCAGGAATAAGCAAGGAGGGGAAATCTGTCATAATATTATGTCCTTTAAAAGACCTACAATTATAAAACCGCAGAATCAGGCAAGAACTGTCCAAATCACCATCAGGAGAAGGCATTTTTATTCTTCTGTTTTCTCTTTCCTTTCTTCCTTCTTTCCTCTCTCTCCCAACCATTCTTTCCTTCTTATTCTAAAAAGAATTTGAAGCAGATTATTTTTCTGTTCTATGTAAATTGATGGTTATCCTTTTTTTTTTTTTTTGGATTCTGCTTCTTGTCTTTGCCAAGCTGCCCTGCTTGCCAAGGACTTAAAACCAATATAAAAACATAAGGAACAAATGCAGGCTAGCCATTCTCTGTTCCCAAAGATCCTAAAACATTTGGCTGAAAGTTTTCATTCTGACGCTGATTTATCAACATATATTCCAGGAATATCCCTGACATACACCAGAGGGCACCTGAATCACTTTTTCACAAACTGTGTGGATTGTTAGTATATTTAAGTATATATTTATTATATGCAGATTTGCTTTATGTTTCTATAGGTGTTGTATGCCTGTATTTCAATTATGTCTTTTTTTTATGTCTTTTTTAATAAATTATGTTTATTGGAAGGGTATTTGGACATAACGTGGGGACTCACATAAATTATGGCTCATCCACATAATAAATATTTATTGAACATCTACTATGTTAAATGAAAAAGGATATTGAGAACCGTGTATATTGTAAAAGGACATTTTTACAATAGAAAAATATATTTATATTTGTATTCTATTACTTACATATGTATAGATACATACAAATATGGAAAAGAAAATTCTGGAAGTACATTTAAACTGTTAACTTTAGGTTATCTTGGGGAGAGGGGAGGGTCAAATTATGGGAAATTTCTGTTCCTTTTTTATTGAAGTATAGTTGATTTACAATGTTGTGTTAGTTTCTGGTGTATGGCATAGTGATTCAGTTATATATATGCATATGTATATATATATATATTCTTTTTCAAATTACTTTTCAGTATAGGTTATTACAAGATATCAAATATAGTTTCCTGTGCTATACATTAAGATTGTGTTTATCTATTTTACATAAAGTAGTGTTTATATCTGTTAATCCCAAGCTTCTAATTTATCTCTCTCCTGCCCTTCCCCCTGTCGGTTAC